CTCAACAAATATTTATTGAGTGCTTTCCAATGTGCCAGGTATAGTGCTCAATTAGGAAGATAAGTGAATCCACGGATTCATTCTTGAAGACGGAAGAGGAACTTGGGAAGGGTGTCTCAAGCAGATGAAGTAGAATAGCCTCTTTCTGGAGCACTGGATACATTATCTCTATTTGATGATGATAAACAGTCTCTCTAGATTTCTTTTTTAAAGCAATTTGAAAATGGTAATGTGAACTCAGATATGTAAATAGTATATAAAAATCATTGATTTCCACTACCAACACTCTCAATACACATAAACACTTTGGTTTGCAGTTTAAGGCAGTTTTTAGTAAATGGGAATACTTAAGAATTAATTTAGTTGATGCATGTAAAAGAGTTACTTAGGCATTGAGAATCTCTTATGAAGGAAGCACTCAGGGCAGCCAAAAATAAGAATTAAGAAGTCATAGAGAATATGGATACTACAGAAAGGAAGAGGGAAATGCAGGAAGTTTTACATTCCTCATTTGGTGCTATTTTTTTTTTTTTAATGTAGTGAAAGTAATTTGTCAGGATTTGTGGGACAATGGGTCTTCAACAACTGGACTTTTTTGGTTATCTGTTCAGTTCCATTGACATTTTCCCCTTTTCCTGAACTCCTATCTTAGCTCATTCATCTAAGCACATTCATCTAAAACCCACAGTTATGAAAAGTGCTACATAAATACCTGGAGCCACTTACATTCTACTTTTCCAGTCTCTTTTCCTGCCAGTTATTACCTTCCTTGCCTTTAGTGTTTTCAAACCCTTGGACCCTTTGCCTGTTGTCTCCTGTCTTACCAGCTTACCAGTTCCTCTTGTTGCTGGCCTGTTTCCCACCCCCCAAAAAGATCACTTTAGCACCCTTTTTTTCCCTAGGAATGCTAAAGGTGGGAATAGTGCTTCCCTTTCTATTACTTATGCCTTTGTGGTATACACACATACAGGCACGTGCTTGAGGAGGGGCCGGTACACTGCACAGCAGTCGCTTGATTGGTGTTCTAGACAGGGACTACGTTAGTCCATGGCATACTCAGAGCTGCAGAAGCCTATATAAATCCTTTTTGGGATTTGAAGACTTTACACAGTTTTGGTAAGAAAATGTGGATAGGTGTTTATAAAAGATGAAATGATGACTTTCCAATGTAGTTGTCTGAGAGAAACTCCTGGGTTTTCCATTTGATCCTAGCAAGGCTACATATCTGAATATCTAGGAAGAAATTTTTTTTTTCTATTGGTCATTTAATTTCTTGAAACAAAGGACATGCACACCCATGTAGCCATTCATGTGAACAATCCTGTTTCCCATAATAAGGAACCCATAGTGTATTAAGAAATTTGTTGTTGTCCAGAAGTTCATTTTGGGTGTGCGCTTTAAAGGGTTTAACTGTCCTACTTGGTTGCCATCCAGATATTGTACTGATTGGTAGAATGTAAACAGAGAAAAAAATTGGCATGATTTATAATCTTCTATAAGTGAATGAAGTCTCATGGCTATCCCAGGTTGGTCTGAAGAGCCATTGTCAGAACTAAGGAGAAGATTACACAGTTCCTGCTCACACAGACTGTATTAATGTTATTAGTCTTTATTGTATCTAGCACAGGATTCAACAAAACTTGGCAGGAAAAAGATAGTTCAGCTTTTAGGCGCTATTAGGAAAATACGGAGAAAGAAAGTGAGATATACATAATATACACTATATTAACAAATTCATTTACTGAGGTGGTGGTACTCGAGACAGACCATGGCAGGTAGCACATTGATTTTACTATAAAGTCATTGAAAAATACTTACATTGAGAAAAAAGTTAGCCTATCACCTGCATATTTTGCTGTTTTCCCATACTATAACTGGCTTAATTTTTGTTTACCTTTTTGTCTCTGTTTATTCTTAGATACTTTCTGGAACTGAAATTTTAGAAATGGTCTTTCTACACCATTTTGGTGTTTCCTACTTCCGTCTTTAAGGCTACTTATAACTGAGGGGATAAATAGCTTTTGATAGTTCTTATTTCTTTAGAATATATTAAGAAGTGTAAAATGTGTTTTGTTTCACACAGAAAGACATATCTGTGGGCCAATCTCTATTAGAGAAGTAGGAGCTCTAGGGATTCTAGAGCTGTGGCCTGGCCCAGGAGGTAGGACTTGGTTTCGAGTGCCACTTTTACTGCTAGCTTGCAGTGTGACACTGGGTAAATTAACTTCTGAGCTTCAGCCTTTTTATTTATACAGTGAGGGTAATAAGCAAGATGATTTGTAAAGCTTCTAAAAGTTATTTAAAATCTTCTCTTTCTACACTGGGAGACAGGGAATTCTCTGTTGTAAGATTGGGCCAAGAATGGCTCTTTTTGTGGCCTTGGCCAAGTCCCAGCATTGTCTTTTGTTTATTACATGGCTGAAATACACATTTCACAGGTATTTTTAAGTGATTAGTTAATGTTCATAAAATGCTTTGAAGAGCTTTTGTATATGTTGTCTTCTTGTCCTGTATTATGCAGTTATCCATAATAGAAACCAAGTGTTCTGTGAGTGAAATCAGTGTTTCCTATGATGTGAATGAGGGTTTTTGACATTTCCCAGAATAAATATTAAAGTAGTAGGACACTGAGCCTGCATAAAATTACATTTAAAATACACGTTTAATCATTTTCTTCCTTTCACTCTGTAGGTAACAACATTTTTTCCGTTCTGGAATGTAATGGTAATTACACTCCAAAGTCGCTCCTGTAGTCACTCTCAGGGTAGTAATCTGATTAATTTGGACTCTGCCTATTTGTCGTTGGCTGAAGTTTATTTCTACTTGATATATGAGGAATAATGTTGTTAAGCATACTAATAGTATGAAGTATATTTCATGGACCATCTTTTTTAGTGGAATTATTTTTAAAGCCTTTTGCATATTAGTTGTTTGCTTATGAGAGATAATTACAAATGTCTGCTAACAATTTATTAAAACAAAAGAACCGAATATAAATAAATGTTCAACATGCATTTAGAGTTTCGGGTTCTTGAGATTGCAGAGGATGGGGTGGAGAAAGGCAGTCTTTTGTTTAAAAATGGTTGGAATTACACAAAAAAATAATACTAAACTTTAAGTCTAAGAGGAATTGAAACCGAGCTTTGGCATAGATTTGGTGGTATTGGTTGATATCTTTGGAAGGCTAATGAGATTAGACAAAGAATTATGTTGGTTTTTTTTTCAAGTGATTTTTCACAGAAGAATAACAACTTGAGTTCCTTAAGCAAGAAAAGTGCTCTTAACCTGCCTGTGGGGGTTGTTATCCTCTTGGAAAATTGGAAAACTCTTCATTCCCAATTTTCCACTCATACATTTTGCATTGTCTTGATAGATGATCTGCTGGAAACCATTCACTGTCATGTTTGACGAAGGTCTTGGGTCTTTGTTCTCAGGAGAAGTCATATTTGCTCTTGGTGTTGCCACATGTTTTCATAGGCAGGAGAGTGTTTGAATAGCCTTTCTAAAACCTTTCCAACACTCCTTGCTGCATGCAGCTAACTTGTGGCCATTGTTCATTTTATATTTTTAAATGTTCAAGAATGCTTCAGGTTTTTGGAATGTGACATTCCAAACTAGTTTGATGTGTGTGTGTGTGTGTGTGTTGTATGTGTGTTGTATATTTCTTCTGTGTTTCCAATAAGCTGTTACTGCTGATTGTACCTGGGGCCCTTTTGCTCTCTGTTAACTATGCAAAACCTTCTGTGGTAAAATGGTGACTATGGTTTATTTGTATTAGAGGAACTTTAAAAAAAAAACATTTTAAATATATTTTAGTCCTAAATCTCCAATTTCTTTGAAGATTTCTATGAGACAATTCTGTTGTGGGGGGCGGGGAGAAGGAGTTGGAATTACTATTTAACCGTTGATGTTGTTTGAGTAGATTTTTTGGAGGTATTTGTGTGTATGATAGTTTGAATAAAAATTATTTGTGAGCTAGTGCTGATTGACATCTACTTAATACTTATGAGTAAGTTCATGCTTTATTGCTCGGTGATTCAAAATAAGCTTCCTGTCTGTGTCTATGTATATACTACATATACATATGGATTTGGATTTCATGGCAAAGTACTTTTTGCCTGAATTTTGATGTGTAGCTTAAAGTAGGTGCTTGTGATTCCCTTAGCTGGTTTCATGCTGTATTTCTGGTATATTAAGTTATATATTTTTGCAATTTTGAAAGTAGTGTCTGTCATCTGGGCTTTTGGAATATAAATGAGAAAGGCTCATAAAGGACTAAATTTCAGTATTTTAAAAGCTAGGAAAAATTTGGAAAGAGTATTTGAAAGCTACCTACTTAATATGGAAGCACAGTTTACTGTTAGGATATAAGCTTGAAAATAAATATGAATTATTTGTTGCTGCACTATTTTTTTTTTTAAGTGCTAGCATTCTTGTCAGTGGAGGTCTGTCCTGACTAAAAGCCTGCATTGATGAGACAGATAATCCTGTTTCCAGGTGGAAGTAGAGCGGTTGTGTGAAGGTAGATACACAGCAGCCGCTAAATGTCTCCCTGGTAGCTTACCTACTTCAAAAGTAAAATTTCTTAACCTGCAAATAAAGAATTCATCATCATCCCGGTTTATTCTATTTTCACTTTTGAGCATTGTGTAGAAAATCCATGAGTTGGTGCTTGAAACAGAAACTTAAAACACCCACTCACTTTCGGAGCCCTTGTTCCCCTGTTTCCCGGCAGTATTTCTAAACACTATAGATGGACCCTGTATTTGCCACTGCTTTCACGAAACCTCTCAAGCTGCCTTTGACAGAGCTTTAGTTTTTGAATCTCCTTGTCAGTCACTAACCCCTAGAGGTTACCGGATCCGCCGCTGAGCTTTGGAATGGTCCCTGCTGGACACCTGCTCCGCTAGCAGCATTGGTCTCTCCTCTAGGCAATTTGTGAGCTGTTTGAAGGGGGGGGGGGGGTTGTGGGCGGGGGGGGACGGGAGGGGATAGGGGGAGAGAGGAAGGGGAGGGCAGCATTAGATTGTTGATAGCGTCCCTCCGAGGACTGCTATTAAGAGCACGCTACTCTGTACTTCTCTGCCGCAGAAGACAGAGTGATGTTCACGTTACCACAGCATGTTGTAAATGGATGAGATTTTGCTCATCCCGGCTTGGAAATAAGAATAGGGAAAGGAGAGCAACTTGAATCAGAAGCTACTAGAAGAGTGTGCAGAGTTCTGCAGCAGTTTATATTCGCTCTTACATTCTTTCTTCTAACTGGAAAACAGAGAGACTGGCATTTTTTAAACGGGCTTTTCCCATAATGGCATTCTTGTATTGTCTGGCCAGAGCTTGCACAGGAGGAAAGCAGGCTGCTGAATTTAGTCACTGATCTCTATTAGCTGTGGCCTAAGGCTATGCTGAGGTTTATATCCCATTTGTATTGTTGCAGCTCAAAAGAAGAATGTTCAGAGGATGACAAGTGTATTCTGAGTAGGTACGTTGTTTCATTTTCATATGAAACCCATCTATTTTTTTTCCTGCTACTATTGGTCAGAAATCAGGTTAATTGGTGCAGAATACAGTACAGTGCTGCAGTATCCCTGTTAAGGTAGAACAATGGTAATGCAAGCTTAAAAAAAAAGCAACCCTAGCTGCTTTTTATTAAATAAAGCTGCATTGTGGGGTATGCACAGTGCAGTCTTAAAAAAATATGTATATACTGCAGTCAATGCTTTCCTAAGGAGGTGGCACTATTGTTGAGTGAGAATGGTAGAATCATCATATTGCTTTAGGGGACAGGAGGATTTAAAGGAGGTACCTTGCAGCCCTATTTTACAGATTGAAAGCATCGGTTTCAGGGCACTGGCAGAATCGTTTGCTTGTTCTCGGCAGCCACTGCTGTGTCAGTACAGTGTGGAATGGAAGTCCTAGTTGGTAGTCTGTTATGGAAACGCTGTTTACTGTTATTGTAGTACCGTGGTGACAACATGCCATTGAAATGGAAAACGAGCTCTCCTGCTATCTGGAAATTCCCAGTTCCTGTGCTTAAAACATCCAGGTCAACTCCACTTTCTCCAGCATACATGTAAGTGAGCGAAAATAGGATATTAAAATGGGATTTCATTCATGAATCAACATTGTGGCAAGGGGGGGATATCCCAAAGAGCAATATCCCCAAACCCACAAGATTTAAAAACCTCAAGCTTGCTTACTTTTAAAGACATGGGCATGTCCACACTTTACCATTGTTTTGTTTTCCTAGGAATTTATGTTTCTTTGCATTTAAAGTGCTTAATCAGAATCTAATTACTAATATGAAGCTGCAGAGCAGAGGTATAATGAATGAATTGCATAGGGATAAACTCGACTCTTATATAGCGTGGATATTTTTGAATTTTTGCAGATCTGAATTCTTTTGTGTAATGGCACGAAAACTGCTGATGATTGATGTTGGTGTTAAATATGTAAATGATTTCTATAATATTTTTGATGAATTTGAAACCTTCAGAGTTAGTACAATGATCAGAAGATGAGTCTTTTCATTGGACTTTTATACTTTTGTGTATGAATATTAATAAGTTTGACATTATCTCTTTCCCAGTTCTATAATTCAAGTTCTGAAGTGTAAGTTAAAATTTGTGTAGATTATACATCTGTGATTAGTTATTTATATACAGGGAATTGAAAAGTGCATTACACAACTCTGTTTTACAAATTTCTTTTAACTAGATACATACAGAAATATATTTTGAGGGCCTTCTAGAATCTTCCCAAAATCTTATTTCTTAAATTTGCAAAGTGTTGCTTTGAAAACAAAAGTCAAGAGATATAATAAAGTATTCTTTTACAGTATTATCCATGATCCTTTTTGTTGTTGTTGGAAGAGGAAGAGTGAGGGAAAACTAGACCCTTTAAAAATACATATGAGTACAAAAAGAGCTTTTCAGTAAAAGTCTACCTTAACTATAACTGTTCCTCTTAAATTATTTTGCAGTAGGAAAGATAAAAAAAAATTCTTCCTGCTTTAGGTTAATTGTATGTTTAGAAATATTTATTACTTAGTTTTTGTTTTATGTGTGGTTCAGATGCACAGGGGTGTTTGATTCTTTGAAAGGCTTTCAGCTGCTGAGTTAATGTGGGTGTGCTCTCAGTCCAAAGGAAGTGATTCCCTGGAAAGCACTGAATAATGAGGATATTTCAGAGTTAGATGCTGTCATCATTTCATTTTCAGATTATCTTTTATGTTCGTAGAGATGCTTCAGGTTATTGTATTTGTTTTGGCATTAAACCCCTTTTCCTATAAAGTTAAAATTTCAGTTATATTTATAAAAAGAAAAGGAGAAAGATCAGCTGTATTTGTTTCTCAAAAGCTGCATCCTTGAGAAGCACACATTAATGGAAGTGACAAGTTGGTGAAGGTGACAAGTTAATAGAGCTTCTTCAAGTAATCTGAGAAATGAGATGTGCCTGTTGACTTTATGAATTTTAACTTGTGAGAAATAGCTAAAACTTTACCAAAAGTGACTTTCTAATCAAAACAAAACATATACACCCCAGACTAACATTAGTACATTACAATTAATGATGGTCACTAATGAACTTAGTATTCCTATTGTATTTGCTGTCCAAAAGATAGAAATTGCAGCCCTTATTACAGCTGGTTTGCCTATTTTTAGAGATGGTTTAAAAATATGTTTTAGTAATTCATACTAGCCACAAACTATCTTATTACAACATCTTCAGTGAATCACTTTCTTCCTTTTCAACTACTAACCTATTTGACCTGATGACATGAGTAAATTGATTTAGATGATTAGCTAGAAAATATTACAGATCTTGTACGTTGACAGAGACTGCTGGTAGTACTCATAGATGGAATGAAAAATATATTTGAAGTTCTGGTGTAAGGCTAGATTATTTTGATACTGCATTTGTCTGTATTATTTAATTGGCCTTATTTTGCCTTATAACTAAATTAATGTAGGGTTTAAAGTATTATGTAAATACACACAGAAAGAAGATATGTTAAATATAGAAAAATACTAGCTTGGGGAGTTTAAATCAGATTTTGAAATAAATTGTTTAGTTTTTGAATGTTTTGGATTAAAGTCATTGCCTTCCTTGGCCAGAAATAAAAATATCATGTTTAACATGTTGTTCTCATCAGTGCTTCTTTATTTTCCACAGCACTCTACACACAGGAGTGTTACTTAAGTTCAGCATAATTTTTGTTCTCAAAACTTTAAAAACTAAATTGGAATATTGGGTCAAGCAACATTATATTTGCTTTTACAATTGTTTAGCTGGCAAACACAGGTTAAATGGTAAATTGCATCTATTATGTCTCTATTCCTTGCATTGAAGTGGAATAAATTCTGACTCTAATACATTTCAGTATTTAAACAAAACAAAACAAAACTATAAGCTCAAATATAGAATTCTTCACAGTTAATATAAGCATCTTTTTGTCTGCTTGTGAAGCATCATATTGTGAAGCATTATTTACTGTGATTTGTCAAATACACATTACATGCATTTCAATGAAGACGTGAGTACTTTTTCAAAGATTGAAGTTTCAATATAAAATAATCTTGGTTGTAATAAAAAAAAAATTAGGAAGGCACCCTACAGTCTCGCCAAAGTCAGCTACTGTCTTCCACTGATGCTGCAATAAGGCAGTGCAGCTGTGTTAGGGAAAGCTACAGCCGAGAACGATTTACTTACTGCCATTGTTGAACAAAAACATGATTTTCCCCCCTGTGGATGTAAAGTCCAAGTTTGCTTTCTTTCTGCTTCTTTGCAACTTCAATGATAATTGAAACCTCCATATTTTCAAAAGTTATTGATAAGAATGACAATGTTTATGATAATATATAGGAAAATAGTTCCTTCTATAACAAAGGCACTTTTCAAAATTTTGTTATGATGTGATATGGGAGAGAAGAGAAGTTTAAAGATAACAGATTTAGTAAAATAATCCTTTACTTCCAGAGTGATTATTGTATCACTAGCTTTTATATGGTAGATGCACGTGTCTTCAGTTTCAGCTTTGCACACTCGCAGAGTAGTGGCAGTGTTTTCCATGTGAAATTCTGAAAATATGGTTTTGATAGACATCTGAATGACATGTTTGTGTTACACTCTGTTCAGCAGTAGATTCAAGTTCAATCTTAGCCTGAGGGAGGTTCTCTTGGTCAGTGTAAATTGAATTAGTTAAGACTCTGCTCTTGACATATGGGAACCATATAAATTAACCTGTCTTATAGTTTGGGATATCTCCTAAATTAATAAAGCTTGAAAGGGCAGTCACATTCAAGTGATTTTCTGCTGTTTTGGTATTTGTTGTTTTAATACATTAAGGAGTTCCTTCAGTCTAATGTTATGTGGTTAATGCGTTGTTAGATTCTAAGGATACATTGAAATAGAAAAGAATTAATATCAGTGATCATTTCTGTTTTCTTTACAAGATGTAAGTTTTGCTAATAATGGTCTGGCAATGAGGAGGAAGACAATACGTAGACTTAACCAGAACAATGTAACTGTGAATTCTAACAAGACAACGTGTCTCTTTTCCTTAGAATTTTACGTTTCTCAAGCTGAAAGGCAGTGAGTGGTGGGTGAGAGGAGATGAATTGGACGTGTCCTTTACCAGAGGACTTGCAGTGAGCTCCTCTTTGCAGTTACTTTGCCTAATGTAAAATATGTTTTATAGTAAATGTCAGTAGCACAATATTCTGTAGTAATTGTTTTCTCCCATTTTATCATTAAAATTCAGTGTTGCGATTGCCTGAGAAAGGGTTGTGCATACTGTATACATGTTCCTTGCTGGGTGGCCAAAAGGCTAAACAAACTAAATGTATGCATTTTCTAAATTTGACCTGTTTTATATCCCCTAAGATTGTCTTCTTTTAAGTTAAATTGATAACATAAAAACTGGTGTTTTAGAATTTTTTTTTCATTTTCCAAAATACTTTTTAAAGTTAGTTTTGTGTCTGCTTAATTGTTTTTAGTACATAAGATCAATCCAACAATATGTAGAGAAATAACATATTTAGTGTTTGTCTAAACTTTTGTGGCACTTTCTTTGGGAATTTCCACCATCTGAGCTTAAGGACTACCTTAGTACTGACTAATGGAAAGCCATAGAGATGAAAGTTATCTTAGAGCCCATTTAGAGAATACAAATGCATTTTTAAAACAGGAATCCTTTTGGTGACACTTCTGAGAGATGGTGACACATGTCCTCCTTGATCACTGTCAGGTACAAAGAGCTCGTTACCTTACCAGGGCAGCACCTTTCAGTTATGGACAGTTCTTTCTTGCATTGAGCAAAATCAGTTCCTCACATCTTTTATCTCCTAATTGTAGTATAGCCATATAGAGTTATATGGAAAAACACTTACTTTCTCTTACATACAAGTTACAAAGTCTTCTCTCTTTTTAACTATTGTTCAAATGACATGGTTTCCAGACCCTTCTCTCTGCTTCTCATCC